TCCATCTCGCACCCCCCTCCCCCGCAGCTCCTTGTGGGACCAGCTGCCCCACCGACCCACTGAGGTCTCTCACCTGCTGCCTCCCACCCACCTGGGACCCACAGAGGCATCAAGCAGCCGTGAGACCCCCCTGCCGCCCCTCAAGGAACTGCGCCTCAGTGTCTTACCTAAACCTTTACAGAGACCATGTCTCAAAAATAGGTTTCTGAGTAACAAAAGTTTGTCTTCTGGTCTCCACACTCACGGGTTTACATGTGCATGTACCTGTACACATAATCACACACACACACACACACACACACACACACACACACACACATGCACACACACACTGGTAGTGGCAGTAGTAGTAAAGAAATGGCAACATGCTAGGTGAGTTCCACTTGTTGAGAAGTAAATAGTGGGCTGACAACAATTTTTTCCTCACTTTCTCAGGAGTCAAAAATGATAACTTTGGAAACATAAATACAAATTTTTATAGTAGTTTTATAGTTTTTTATCATTTTTATCTGGGTTATCTTCCCATAGTGTTTGGAAACAAAAGCTACAGCAAGAAGGAGGAGGAAAGTGAACTTAAGAGGAAGAGGGAATTCTTTGTTCCCTACATTCCTGTGAGGTGGAGGGAGCCAGGTGATGGGGAGCTGAGGTTCCAGGGCAAAGGACTTAGCCCAGGATGCAGAGGCCACTGGAGGAGTTGGGCTGTTTTGAGGAAAACCCAAGGAATTCACTTTTAATTAGGAAAGAGAGGAGGGGAGGGGAGGGGTGGGGGGCCGCCCCGGGCCGGGGGGAAGATCCTTTTAAATCCAGGAGAGAAAGAAAGGAGAGAGGAAGGGAAGGAGGCAGGGGAGAGAAAGGGAGGGGAGTAGAAGAGGGAAAAGGAGTGGGAAGCGAAGAGTTAGGGGTTCAGCCATTTGGAGATGTTGGAAAGCCATAAAGTAAGGTGTGGAATGGGGGGTACAGACCTAATGGACACTGAGGGGCCCATAGGTAGAAGTTAGGGCTGTGGCTGGTTCGAGAGGCGAAGGAGAGAACATTTTTGCCCTCCAACTCTAGTTGTCTGGAAACAGAATGTGCTCCTGGGGAGAGTGTATTTCCCATCCCTGGCAGGTGACCACATAGCAGGAAAGCCTTCTAAAGGAAATGCAGACACGATGTGCGAGTCCACAGGATGAACCCATGCCTGTGAGTGTGTGGCCCACTGCTTGTCACTAGGCCTCTATAGAACACTCTCCTTGAAAAGCTGTCTCCCTATGGTTACGAGTCAAAGCACACAGGACATCATCAAAATTTCCTTGGTAGTACAGACTTAAAATGCCAAAGCCAACGTTGTCAGCAGTAACAGCTGAGAGAAATGTACAGACCGGAAGCTTGAAGGTGTTAGGAGCAGCCTGAGTCTTGCTACCTCCTTGTGGAAAGGAAAGAACATTCCTGGTTCTATAACATGTTCAACATGTGGAATTAGGGCTAGGTATGTAGTTCCATGGTGGGGTGTTGGCCTAGCATACACAAGGACCTAGCACCACAAAAAAAGTGGAATTGCATGAGGTTTAAAACCAAGTTGTAGACAGTGAGGGAAGGCAGCATCTGCCTGAGAGCTTTAAAGACCTGGGGCTCCCACTGATGGGGGAAGGGGAAGGGCAATGAATGAAGGATCTGGGGCTCACACTGATGGGCAAGGGGAAGGGCAGTGGATGAAGGATCTGGGGCTCACACTGATGGGCAAGGGGAAGGGCATGGATATTTGCAGATCAGTGACTAGGATTACAAAGAATAAAAATGAGGCCCTGCAAGCTAAACGTTGTAAGATCTATGTTTTGTGGCAGGAAACTGAGTTTCCTACTAACTTTCGGGTACAAGGAAGTTACTTTAATTTAGAGCAGTGCTTCTCAAGCTGATATGAGACCCTTTGGGGGTTGCAAGCCAGATATCCTGCATATCAGATATTTAAATTACAATTCATAACGGTGACAAAATTAGTTATGAAGTAGCAAGGAAATAATCTTATGGTTGGGGCTCACCACAACATGAGGAACTGCATTAAGGGGTTCCCCCCCTTAATTAGAAAGGCTGAGAACACTGCTCTAGAGAGAGGAAAGGAGCTCTCTTTAAAAGTGGGTCCAACTGGGCTAATAGCTGTCTCTAACTCCAGTTCTGGGAATCCAGAACCCTCTCATGGCCTCCATATGCACCAGGCATGCATACAGCGCACATATGTACATGCAAGCAAAATACCCACACACACTAAAAAATAAAAAGAAATACATCTTTATAATACCTTAAACCTTAATCAAGCAAAGTATTTTTATTTTTATTACTTATTAATTTTAAAAATGTTTTTGTATAGACAGGGTTTCATGTGCCTCAAGCTGGTGTAGACCTCTATATGTGGCTAAGGATGACCTTGAACTTTTGACCCTCCTGTCTCCATTTACCAGGTGCTGGGATTACAAGCATAAACCACCATGACCAATTGGTTTTTTCTTTTTAATTCTTTTCATTTAAGATGGGAGGTCTCACTATGTTGCTTTGTTCTCCAACTCCTGAGCTTGGACAGTCTCTCTGTGTCAGCTTCCAAATATCTGGGGCGCCACCATGCTTCACGCAAAAATCTCACTTGCATCTTTCTTATGGGATTTAAGAAGCAGTGCTAACAAACTCCCTTCCCACAGAGTGGGACCCAGCTGAGTCTGCAGAAGGTCTAGAGAAACATCTGTGAAAGATGCCAGCCTCCTAGAAAAAGCTTAGGTAATGGTTGGGTTAGAGAATCCTGGGAAGATTTTTCCCTCTAAGTCTCTGCAGAGCAGGGACTGCATCTTCTTCTCTTGCCCAACCCAAGAGGAGAGCTGGCCTGACGGCAATGCTGTCCGTGGTCGCCTGCTCGTGATGTGTACTCCAGATTGCCCTGCAAGGGACTTTTTTTTTTATTTGTTTATAAAAATTTCCACTTCCTCCCCTCCTTCCCATACCCTCCCATTGCCCCCACTCCCTCTCTTCCCCCCACCTCCTCCCTCTCCAGTCCAAAGAGCAGTCAGGGTTTCCTACCCTGTGGGAAGTTCAAGTTCCTCCGCCCCTCCCTCCAGGCCTAGGAAGGTGAGCATCCAAACAGACTAGGATCCCAAACAGCCAGGACATGCAGACGAAACAAGACCCAGTGCCATTGTCAATGGCTTCTCAGTCAGCCCCCATGTCAGCCACATTCAGAGAATCCAGTTTGATCACATGCTCGTTCAGTCCCAGTCCAGCTGGCCTTGGTGAGCTCTCATTCGATCAGTCCTGCAAGGGACTTCTTAACCTTTTTGGATACTTTACACCAAAGAGACCTTAGGAAAATCTAGTGGTGGCTGTCTACTATCCTGAAAACTGGGCTTATAGTCCTTAGTGTGATTTTTTTTAATGGCGTGGTTTTTCAGCACTCTCCCAGAGACGAGAGTATGCAAAGCACATAGTCAAGATTCATTATTACAGCAGATGTATCTCAGAAAGCTGAGGATGCATGAGTAGTTGTAGCATCCCAGGCCCTGTGCTGAAGGAACAGTATTCACCCTATCTGCTCTTGTCTCTGACTGGGATGGAGGGTGTCTATCAATTTATTAATTTGACACGTATCAAGCATTTTGTTGTGTGCAAGGATGCTGCTCCACTAGAGACACAAGAATTAAATATTGAAGGGTCCCTTCCCCAAAGGCATCGAGAAAGTAGATGGCCACAGTGGAGTGAAACAGGATAACCAAAGGTGGGCCAGTAAATTAGGGTCAAAGTTCATCTGCTGGGTGCTGTGGGAACAGAGCGCAGGGTATAATCTGACTGGTCCTGATTCTTCCAGGGAGGGAAAAAGGGGAACTGGTCAGCTGGAGGAAGGAGAATCAACTGCTTTTGATAGGTGAAGAATGTGGCAAGGATTCTGAGCTGTTGACGCAGAGGCAGATCCAAGGGAGTGCTCCCAAGACTTCCTTGTGTCCTCCCTAGGTCACCACAGCCAATAACCATGTCATCTAAGAAGGACCTGGGAGCAGAGTTTTAAGTCAAACACTCCCACCCCTCAACTCCCATCTAACTAGTGTCTACATTTAAAAAAAAAAAAAACAAACAAACAGAAAAAAAAAAAAACCCTGGAGAGGTCATACTAAACGACTTTTACAACCGGAAGCTTGATAGGCAAGCGGAGGGAGGGAGGAAGTGTCAACCATTTCAAGTGCCTCCCATCCCTACTGGACTTGATGCCGCTACTGTAGATTGATGTCATTAGTGGAAACTAACGTGAGCTCTAGGTTCTCCCTGGCTAGCTCCATCCTGAGAATTTGAGTTTGGCGATGACGAGGGTCCTGCCCGCTGCAGCCACTACTAGTTCCCTACCATTCGCTTCAGCGTCGGCCTCGAAGAGACGCAGTGACTGTTCTGTGGATGAGCAGAGAGATGAGCAACCGTAAACGTTGGTAAGTAAACACGGCCTCATTTGTAGTTACAGAAGAAGAAATGGTTTACTCCGTCTCGCCCACTGAAAATATACTTAAGTTTGAACAGCTGTTCAACTACCTCAAGAGTTGTTGCCATTGCTGGGTTGTGGATGCCATCCAATGCCCCGAAAAATAAGCTTGTGTGCTATCAGAGCAGAATTTCAGTGGACGTTACATGGTGCCCAGCAGATTTCTCCCTGACAATAGAGAAGTTAGTCTCTGAAGCCAGCAAAGGTGACTCGCCTTTCCATTTCTTTTCGTTTGCTTGGTTTTCAAGACAAGGTTTCTCTGTGTAACAGCAGTAGCTGTCCTGAACTCGCTCTGTAGACCAGGCTGGCCTCAAACTCACAGACATCCTCCTGCCTCTGCCCCTGTCCCCACTCCCAAGTGCTGGGACTAAAGACTTGCACTACCACCTGGCTTTTTTTTTTTTTTTTTTGGTTTTCGCCTTTTCATTTCTAAGAACCGTTTCTTGCAGCTCCAGTATGGCTTTTGCTTAAAAGACAAAGCCAGCCCCATCCCAAATAAAAGGCATCTGGACAGCCCTTCAGGGATGAATGTTTTATTGGAATATAGGCACTTGGCAGAGTAAATACATGGTTACAAAGTGTTTTCAGTTTACTGGATTTATATAATGAATGCAAAAATAAAACCACAGTGTAGAATTCTTTTTCATCAAGTCCCAGACTTGAGAAAGCAAATCCTTGGTCGTGTGTATTCATGATAAAGAAGGCTCGTGGCACCGGCATTTCTCACATGGTGAAGCTAGTATGGTTTAAGACTCTGAGTCAATAATGTCATTCCTTCTGCCATACTGAAACAATTAAGGACTACTTAGCGCGTATCACATAACTTTTACCCCCAACCTTGGGTTACAGTAGTACCTCCAGCCTGCTAGGCCAGCACTCTATCTGAAACCATAACCTCAGGTCACACTTCACAAAAATAACAAGTTAAAATCCCTTTTGTCTGGGAGGAGTGTGAAATCCTCTGAAGTCATTGGCTTTAACCTGAGGAGTTAACACAGGCAAACATGAGGTCTGTTTGCCTCATAAAATCTACAGAGGATCAAACCTGATGACCTGCTATTCTTCACACTCAACCTCTTTGAAAACGACAACCAGAAAGTATGTGTGTTTGTGTGCATGCGTGTGTGCGTGTGGTTAATGCATAATTCCATATACTGTGCCAAGTCACACAGGACAAAATGACAAGTTTTTTTTTTTCAAGGAAAATCTTCTTTGTGAAAGGTCAGTAGGCAGCATAACTGGTTTAAACTGGAGTCTTGGCCAAGGACCAGGAGTCCGTAACAAGTTTGCCCAAAGCAGAGATTGCCCGTTCAGATCACCAGCACCTTGCCCCCCATGGAGGCACCAGGACACACTCTAATATCAAAGCAAGACAAGCTTTCGACATGCCACTACCCACACAGACTACTCGGATACACTGCAGGATCCACACCTATCTCCCAATGGACAGCTGCCTTGCCTTTCTTGGAGAACTCGGTGGTGTGAAACATGTACCGAAGGGTTCTTGGTGTTTTCTACGATGCCTTGCCCCTTAGTGCCTACTCCTCTCTGGCCTTCCTGATGGGCACCAGCTCTCATTCAGTGGCATGAACTCTCGATTACACTTAGTTTCTCATGGGGTGAGCAAAGGTGGGGAAGACAAGAGGTTCTGGAGTGGGGCTGGCATGAGCTGGGACTCCGTGATAGCCAGGGCTCCCCGAGAAAGAAGGGTAATGTTTGTGCGGTTAGACATTGTTTTCTTGGTCATCTGCCTTGCTGGGCAGTGCCGTCAGCCATTTGGCCATCTTCCCTTTTAGCATTGGACTTTATTTGTGGGAAGATTCAACAAGGTCAGAAAGTTAATGAAAAACCTCTCCCTGTCTAAAAGCAAGCCCCAAACAGCCCTGCACAGGGCTGTGGCAGGTGTTCAGTTCCCACGTTTCCGGAGCAGTGTGAAACCCGTCAGCCCTTGTGCTAGGCCCTGGGATGTTAGCTACTTGGCATGCAGGAGGCCATCATTCAAGGCTGTGGGTTTCCAGTAGAAAGAACAAATGATGACTAATCCCTAGTCTCGGTCCTTGAAGAAAGGAGGCTGCAGAAAAGACAGGAAGTAAACACAATTTCAGTCCAGCATGCCGAAGGCCAGGTAGAAGGTAAACAGGGACCACGGGAGATTGGCCGTAGCTTCCTTCCTTAATGATGAGCTACCTCATGGACACCGAGTACAGACATTCTAGGAGAAGGTGAAATGATTCAATATGAGACCACACTGAGGTGATTGATTATTACTCATCCTTTATGACTTGGGAATCCCAGAAATGCTTTGTGGAAGAGGTTGGGGGAAGGGGGGTCAGTAGCTAAATTGCTGCTCGAATGGCTGAAGTGTGGGATGACGTCTCGGAAGGAGATGCTCGATGGCCGTGACTGGAAGCAAACTCCAAAGACCAAGGGTGAGGCGCTGATGCTAACACATGAAAGGGGCTTCCAGCCTGCTACCTGGGGCTGCAGCTTTCAGGGAACCAGCTGAGAATTTTCTGAGACACAGCAGGATATACCCCATGGCAGCTGAGTCCATTCATCTCTTATACCATCAGTTCCAGGCTGTACTCTACTTTAAAGGAGAATTCTTTTCTGTTTCCTTCAGAAAGAACAGTGGTCTTTCCATTACGGTATGCCCAGGCTTGGTACCTGATAGGGTATCTAAGAAATTCATTTGCTGAACGTTCAAGCAATGTCTACCTTTGGTGATGTCTTTGGCAATGACATAAACTCGAATGATTTCATTCATTCCTTTGTCCATTCCTGCATTCACTTGTTCCCTGCTGAAAATAAACCAGGACTATATAAATGGAAAGAATGAAGACTCTCCTGGCTTGAAACTTAAAGATTGGAAAAAAAAATATTCTTTTTTCTAGACTGAATTCTCATGAGCCCTTTAATTTATAGGAAGCGAAACACCTAATCTTTTGTTTATTACTCTGCCTAACAGCTAACACCAGCTGCTCAAATAATGTCTGTGGAATTGGTAGGTTTTGAGCTAGAGAATTTAGCCAAGCACTTTGTACAACCTAAGGCTGATTTGTGCCGGTGAAATTTATTGCCCCATCTGAATTTCCTTAAAAGCTGATTAATTCATATAAGTCAACAAAATTAACCAACAAGGAATTGATGGCAGGATTAGGAACAGGGCTTCTTGATAGTTCCGCAGACCTTGGAATTTTGCTCTGCGTCGCCTGAGATCTACCAGCCATGGCTGACTCTGGGCTTTTTCATAGGACAGGGGTGGCTGGGTTCACGACCTCCTCTGTCTTGTGGCTTGGTAAGGGACAAATGCCACTTTAAGAGGCAGTGAGGCTGACAGAGCAGGTGGCAAAGCTGGAGTCAGGGTAGACCTTTGCACTCTCGCTGAAAATACCTCAAAGTGCGGTCCCAAATTTGTGCCACATTTCAGTGAAGAGAATATTGAGGTACCAGGTCCTGCTTTTTTAGTCTCTGCTGCAGCACTGCTTCTTCTCTGGAGCCCCTTTAACTGCGCTTCACCCCAATACTCCAATTCTCTCATCATTTCTACTAAGATGCTAAAGCAATCATTTACAGGGAACAGTTCAGCTCCCCAGAGTTGGCCCCAGTGTTCACACCCTGTTTACATTTCCTCTAGATTTATCATTCGAATTAAGGAAATAGTCATGATTTTTAGCAATCCACATGCAATCCCCTATGGATGGATACCTGTAACTAAAACCCTCTGACTGGCAGTTTTAAAAGGACACCTACAGTCAAGTTGTTTCCTAGCACTCCTCTGAGGGCTGCTCTGGGGAGCTCACATCGTAATTATGCACATCTGGGCTGCCGGTGCCTGGAGCATCCTCTACCACCCATTGGCAGCTATGCACCTGGGCAGCACTGGCTTGTTCTGTATCCACAGCAGGGGCGGGGCTAGCATTCCCTCCCAGCACTTCTTGATCCCCAGAGACCTCATTCCTCTCCACAGAACAGACAGGATTAGAACTTAACACGGCATCTTCTTGCAGCGTGACTGCCGCGGCATGCACAGCCTCGCCTCCTGCATGGGTGGTCTCCTGCGTGGAAACCATGGCTGGTGGCACCTTCTCAGCGGGCTCTGGAGCCTCAGGTGGCTCCCCTAAGGGACCCAGACAACTGGTGTCCTCAGGGAGCTCCCCATCAATGGCCTGAGAGGTAGGGATGCTGGCCTCTGGCAATGTCCCCAAGTCTATCCCAGGAACTTCAGCTTCCAAAGGAGTAGGATGGGCTCCCTTCTCTCTGACTTCACTTTCTTCACGGTTGTCCTGCTGGATGGCAGCTGTCTGACTGGCCGTTGGGTAGATCGCATCTTCTTCTTTTTCATTTTCTGGGGGAATGGGTGTCCCCTCGTGCGTATCGTTTTCCATCACCGGGACAGACTCCACGGACACTGTCACAGTCAACAACTCTTTCAGCTCCTTCAAGGACCCTGGAGAGGTGATGGACTCTGGCTTTTCACAGGTTGGCTCTTCATCTCTAAGGGTCTCCCCACCTTCGGCCTCCGGCACGTGTGAGCTGAGGGGTCCTGCTGCATCCTCTGCAGTGAGAGCACTCCCAGAGCTCTCCACACTGGACACAGTCACCTGCCCATCCCCACCTGAAGGAGGACTGGACTCAGGGACGGGAGTACTTTCTTCTCCAGCCAGTGAGTCAGGCACCGCAGGCTGCTGCTTGTCCTCTGGCTCCTGGAACACTTCATTGTCTGGAGCTGCTGGGGGAATGGCAGACACTCTTCTGGCTGGACTGGCCTGGTTTGACCCCATGGAGGTTTTGAGATCTGTCAGGCTAGATACACTTTCACTGGGCAAGGCCATGTTGTCTTCAAATAAATTGTGTTTCTTCAAGATAGCCGCCTCTGTTATCACTGGGAGAGACCAGAAAGCAAGACATGACATTAACACTCTACCAAGCTAACCCGGATGTTCTGATTTTGCCCGAAAGTCAATCATTCCTGCCAGCTCCTCTGACTCTCCAAATTCTCAGCTTCAAGACCCAGCTTAGGACAAACCTGTAGTAATGTTTTGTTTGTGTTTTAACAAATAAAGCTTGCCTGAAGATCAGAGTGCAGAGCTAAGCCTCAGAGGCCAGGCAGTGGTGGCACACATCTTTAATCCCCGTGTTTGGGAACCACATACCGATAATCTCAGCACTAGGGAGGTAGAGACAAGAGCAATATGGCTGGGTGGAGAGAGGAATATAAAGGGGAAGAGACAGGAACTCACTGGAGTGTGGAATCTGAGGTTTGATGGAGACACAGTGCAGTCTAGGCAGTCTCCGGTGTGAGCATTGGCAGAGGTAAAAGGTCTCTCTAGAGGCTGGCTGCTCTTGCTTCTCTGATCTCCCAGCTTTCAACCCTTAATAGCTGACTCTGGGTTTCTATTAAGAACAATTAGAATTTGTGCTACACCAGCCTCTTCCAGGTAGCCTTTCCTGATGATCAAAACCTGCAAACTTCCCAGATTCCAAATCTCAGTAACATTCATTCTCAAATTTCTTCAATCAAGAAATTTGATTAGGAACCCTTGCTAGGTACCTAATCTGAGGTCAGCATTAATCCAGGAGAATAAAACAAAGCCTTGGGTTTCTAAGGGCTCAAAGTATATAAACATATATATATATATATATATATATATATGAATACATATACATCGCTGTCACCAAATGCTAAGATGGGTGGTTAGTTTGGAACTCCACTATGACAGGGGCAGACTTTCCACTTCCTTGTTTTGTCTGACAGCCTGGTCCTGATTCTACAGTGTGTATTCAGTGCTAAGTGTACACTGGGAGAGCCTGTTTGGCCTGGCGTGTTTAAGATAAGCATCTATATGCACCTCTCTCAGTCTCAAAGGCATGGAGGGGAACCAAGAAAGGAACAACAGTAACAATAGAGTCTGACCATTTGCCCACAGACCTCTGTGCAGGGTCGTAGTGTCCACCAATGGCACCTCGAAGAGGGTGTCGCTCGTGGCAGAGACAGAATGGCTAAGGGCAGTGAGCACGTTTTTCAGCAGCTGGCATTAGTGCCCGCTCTGACAGATGGCATCTCATAGCAGTTTTCAGGCAGAGGGAGACTGTGGAGGAGATGAATCTCCTTCCAGCTTACTTAGTCATGTCTGCGGCAAGCTGCTCATGACCTTTGTGTAAATGCCATGTCAATACCTTTGCCTTCCTCATCTGGGACCCCTTACAATTAGCTACTGTGACTTGAGGCTTGTGCTAGCCCAGTTCTTCTTGTCGGAGGAGGTGTTTTAGTAATGAACACTAAATAAGTTTCGCTCCCACAGACAGATGGCAGTCTCCTCCGAAGTATTTTCAACGTATAGCTATTTACAATGTAATCCTAGACCGGGCCCCATTACCCAGCACAGCAAATGCCAGCCTCCTAAAGAGGTTCTCCGCGTGCCAAGCCATTGTCCTGTGTCTCCGGCTGAGCGGAGGGGAGGAATGTGCTGAGAGAGCAATTATTGGGCCCTGATGCTGGAGCCACCTCTGCTCATCTGTGAAAGCCTTTTGCTGTTCTGACACAGAGTGGCAAAGACAGATCAGGATGGACCCTCAGTTCAGTCCTACTAAACCTTTATTTCTTTCCTCTTCAGTGATAAAGTCTTAACTCTCATCCTGCAGAATTCATGCTTGCATTGAAAGGGGACTGTCATGGGTACATGGTGCACACCTCGTGGATGCACAGCTGAGGCTGGTTCTTCCTTCCTGCCTGTCCTTGCTGTCCTCCTGTGCATCAGACTCAGTTGCAGCTCTTCCTCATTCTCACCTTACAACCTCCCTGAGTTATTTCAGGAGTGTTCCCCATTGAGCATCCCCTCCAGGGCAGGGCAAGTCATCCTTACCTTTCAGGGTTTCGTCAAGGAGGATCTGATACAAAATCTCTTCATAGACGTTCTCAACATGGATCATGTTGGTGTGATCTGCGAAGATGAACTGCTCGTATTTCTGAAGCTCCTGGAGAGAGAGGTAAAAAGATGAAGAGGAAAAGATATTAACACTGGAGAAGCACAACGTCAAGTCACAGTGAAATTCCATCTCACGCTATCAGAATGGGTAAAAAAAAAAAAGTCAAATGCTGGTGAGGGTGTGCAGAAAAGGGGAACCTCACACATGGCTGGTAGGTCTGGGAGCTCAGTCAATGAAGCATTATTTACATTAGTATGAACTTCCTGAGAAAACTAAAATTAGAACTACCGTGTAATCCAGCTACCACTCCAAGATATAGAACCAACCTACATGCCCATCAACACATGAATGAATAAAGAAAATTGATGTGGGATTCCCCTCTGTATGCTGTAAGTATGTTTTAATACCATTGGTTAATAAAGAAGCTGCTTCTGCCTATGGCAGGGCAGATTAAAGTCAGGCAGGAAATCTGAACAGAAATATAGAGAAAGAGTAGGCAGAGTCAGGGAGAAACCATGTAGCTGCCCAAGAAGCAAGAGGTAACAAGCCACGAGTCTTGTGGTAAAATATAAAATAATAGAAATGGGTTAATTTAAGACATAAGAGCCTGAGTCTTTGGCCAAACAGTGTTGTAATTAATATAGTTTGTATGTGATTATTTGGGTCTGGGTAGCTGGGAAACTAAAGTGCAGTCTCCATCTACAAAACGGTGTCCATCATCTGGGGCAAGGATCCATAGAAGACGTAAAAAATCTAAAAGAAAAAAAAAAGAGGGCTTCTAGGCCCCACAAAAACAGGAGCCAAGCACAGTTTCTTGGTAGCAGCATTCCCCTCACCCCCAGATTAGCTCTGTTTGCTAGCTACAAGCAGAGGTGCAGCTTCTTCTTTAAGAGACAGCTTCCTGGTTCATACTGGCAACATGACTGGCTCTGGCTCTTTCAGGAGGTCCCACTACAGAGCATTTAAATGGGGCTTGTGAGCAGAGTGCTACAAGTTGCTTAATGGTGACTGTGAGCTGTGTCCCTGGAGCTGGGACAGTGAGCATGACCTCCACCATGTTGGACAGGGCAGAGCCAACAGGCAAAGCATTAGTCTGAGCCACGACTGCTTAGCATTAAAAAAAAAACACAACAAACAATTCTCCTGGTCAGAAAGAACTACAGATAAATAATATGACAGAGTCAGACAAAAAAAAAACAACTCTGAATGGGTCACAGTGTTGGATAAATGTACATGGGCTTATGAGAAAGAAGAAAGAGTACAAAAAGTCATAGATTGAATGAGTAAAGATAAAAATAATTATTAAAAGGTAATAGAGTAAAAAAAAAAGTAAGCCACAGAAAGATGGAATATACACAGAGAGTCTGGACTGTGCATTTTATTGTTACTTTGGAGAAGAGGTTCTGCTTGTTTTCACAGAAGATGGGAACCTATGGATTCCTTCCAGAATAGTGTGGTTTGATGGAACAAGAACTCTCTAAAAGGTCTTCATGAAACCTAAAAATACTTTGCCCAACAAACAGCAGGAAGCAGTTTGGAGAAAACAATGCATAGATTCCCTAAATGATTGTCTCTAAATATTTGTTTTCATTTAGAGGGGGTTATAATATAGAGATAAATATTTTGCATTGGTATGAATCTTAGTCTATCGATGCAAATTTAAGGTTGATTTTGTTACACTGTGTATATGTATTTCTGCTCTTGTTTAAGGTATTGTATTTGCACAGCTTATTTAAAATATAATGTATAATTAAGAAATACAGATTAATAGATAGTCATCTATCATAGTCAAACCATAGTTATGTTAGTTAGGTTTTCCAGATATACAGGAATATATTTCAGATGGATAGCTATTCTTCAAATCTTTCAAATACCTACAGAATATGGCATTTAAAATGTTTTAAGAACTTAGACTTTTCTCAACAATGAGATACATCTGTTCCTGAGAGCACCAATTTTCTTCAGAGATGATGGGCATTGAAGAAATTCCTTATGGAGTTTGCTGTAATTGTGGCAAGATTAGTCATTTGGGCAAGAAACTGCTATTTCTTAGACGGCTTGACAGTATGTTGTGTAAAATGGACTTGAAGGACCCACAGGAAAAGGACCAGTGAACTCTGCCAGACTAAAATAGGTGGAATGGTACTTTAGGATTCCTGCTTCACAGAAGAAACTGCCAGACATTCTGCAGGGCACAGAAGAAAGCAACTGATGAATTTTGCCAATACAAGACAGAACAGATCACCAAATCTGCTGCTTCATTAAAAAGTCGGCTGGATATTGTGGGCCTGTAGGCTGAAGATGGATGTCCCAATGGTACAGAAGAACTGTGAGTGACTGTTCAGGCGGCAAGATGTCTCTGTTATTTCTAGAACGTTGGAAGTTGTTAACAGTGCTCTTCCAGTTTATATATTATATCCTTCTGGAGTCTTTGAAGAATTGACAACAGATAGTTATAGTTTTCCTTAGTTAGAATAAAAGATAAATTAGATATGATGTTAAAATTAAAACCTTCCTTTTTATTTAGACAAAAAAGGGGAGGTGATATAGGATTCCCCTCTATATACTGTGAACATGTTTTAATGGTTAATAAGGAAGCTACTTTAACCTATGACAGGGCAGAATTAAGCCAGGTAGGAAATCCAAACAGAAATATATATATAGAGAGAGAATAGGTACAGTCAGGGAGAAACCATGTAGCTTCTTTAGGAGGCAGATGCCAGGTAGCTGCCCAAGAAGCAAGAGGTAACAAATCACGAGCCTCATGGTAAAATATAAAATAATAGAAATGTGTTAATTTAAGATATAATAAGAGCTAACTAGAAATACACCTGAATCATTGGCTAAACAGTGTTGTAATTAATGTAGTTGTTATATGATTATTTGGGCCTGGGAAGCTGGGAAATTTAAGTGCAAACTCCATCTACAGGGAATGTGGTAGATATACAATAAATAGAAGATGTCATATGCAGGAAAATGGATCAAATGGAGATAAGTGAAATTAAAGACAAGTATCACTCATTTTCTCTCACACACAGAATCCAAATTTAAGAAAAATCCTAAAAACAGACATAAAAGCAGAAGGAAGACTATTTGGAAAGAAGATTGGCAGGAGAGAAGAGTGGGGACAAGGGAGGGTGGTGGTGTGAGAATAGCCAAAATGCATTATGTTCACAGATGAAAAGAAAAAGAAATCCATTATTTTTATAATTAGTGTCTAATAATGATAACAGAAAAATACAAGATGAATATTTTCAAGAGACAAGGAAAGGTTGACTCCCTCTTAACACCTCCTTGTAAAGAGCAGGGGGACAGCAGCTGGTCCTGAAGGTTAAAGATGCTGAGATAACAATGCAGTCAATGTCTTCTCTTTGCCTGTGGCCTATGTGCTAAGCACCTTGCACTGTTAACTGTGGTAAGGGGACACTCAGTCACTGGCCATCCCCATCCTTTGCTGTGCACAGGGAATACATCCTTTGAACTTTAAATGGGAAAAGAGCAGAGTTGTGTTTGTGTGTGTTTTCAGTTGTCTCAAGGCATTGTTTACATTAGTATAGACCTTCTTGGAAAACCTAAAATTAGAACTACCACAGAATTATGTAACTACCACATCCTCTTTTTCTTTATAATAACCAAAGTTTCCACCTTCATGTTTTATCTGATGCAAACAGTACTTTACCAAAGTAAAAGTTACAAGCAGTGAAATGCAGAATTTATAAGTGTAGTTGGATGACTTCAACTATAAATATATTCATGTGACCAACCCAGGTCCTCTTCCAGCCCACACCCCTCCAAGAGATAAAGCATAATCTGACATCTGTCACAGTGAGTTGAGTTTTGCATGTAAACAAAACCATGTATTGGCTTGTGTTTGCTTTTAAAATTTTTCTACTTTGCTACATGGTTCAGCAGCTCATTCCTCTTTATTGATAAGCATCATTCACTATATAGATAAGTTGGAATTGTTCATCCATACTCATTTGACATTGACTGTTGTGATTTGAATAAGAATGGCTCCCATATGGGGTAGGAAGTCCTTCTGTCTATGTATCGCTTTTATTGGTTAGTGAATATATCTGTTTCAGCAGAATAGGGCAAGCAGGAGACTCAAGCAAATAGAGGAGGAGAGAGTAGTCTTAGGCAGAGTCAGTGAGAAGCCATGTAGTTGCTGCAGGGGACAGATGACTGTGTCAGAGCCTGCTGGTAGGCTATGACCTTGTGGTGGTGCACAGATTAATGGAGATGGGTTTGTTTAAGATGTAAGAGTAAGCCAGAAATACACTTAAGCTATTGGCCAGACAGTATTGCAAATAATATAGTTTCTGTGTGATTATTTCGTGGTCTGGGAAGCTGGGAACGAACAAATGGCTTCCACCTACACTCATAGGGTCATATATTTGAATGCTTAATCACCAAGGATTGGCACCATTTTATAAGAATTAGGAAGTGTGGCCTTCTTAGAGGAAGTGTGACAGTTAGGGTTAGGCTTTGAGGTTTTAAAAGTCTACACCAGGCCCAGACTCTGTCTGTCTGTGTCTGTCTGTGTGTCTCTGTCTCTATGTCTGTGTCTGTCTGTCTGTCTGTCTGTCTCTCTCTCTCTCTCTCTCTCTCTCTCTGCCTATGGATAAGGAGGTAGCTCTCAAATACTTTCTCAGCACTATGCCGGCCTGTATGTTGCCATGTTCCCTGCCATGGTGACAACAGACTAAACCTCTGAAACTGTAAGCAAGCCCCCAGTTACATGCTGTCTTTTATAAATTGCTTTGGTCATGGTGTCTCGTCACAGCAATAGGACAATGACTAAGACACTGACTTTTTTTATTAATGAACATTTGTGTGTTCATTTTATTCTGTATGGGCAACTTAAGAACCAGTTTATCTTAGGTAGACACCTAGAAATAAGATGTAGATATATGTTCAACATCATTATCACAGAAGCTCCTTTCTAGTTGAGAACCCAAGGATTCCGTCTTCCTCTTCACCTGGCACTGATGGTCTTCAATTCCAAGACAGCTCAGACATGATACAAAATTCCTTGACTTTCCCAG